TCTAGATTTTCTTCGTCATCAGCGACCGTCGTGCATGTGTCATTATTGACGGAGGTAGCTGCAATAATTTGATGAGTTCTGATTTGGTCAAGAAGCTTGGCTTGACCACACGCCCATACCCACGTCCATACCATATTCAGTGGCTAAATGACTCAGGTAAAGCAAAGGTAACACAACCTTGTAGAGTTTCATTTTTCATTGGTTCGTATGCTAATTCTGTTGATTGTGATGTGGTACCTATGCAAGCTTGTTCACTCTTATTGGGTCGTCCTTGGAAACATGATAATGATGCTACACACCATGGTAGAAGTAATAAATACACTTTTGTGCATAAAGGAAAGAAAATTACTTTGGTACCTTTGACCCCTGCTCAAATTATACAAGCTGATAGAGAACGCGCTGCTAGTTTGAATGATATCCAATCTGAAAATCAGCAAGTTGCTAATTCTATTTTCTCACCTAAAAAGGATAAGTCTACATCTATTTCTAAGGATGAGGGGATTAAATTGAAGGGTGGGGTTATGCTTGCAACAAAATGTAACTTTGCTGAAATTTTTGATGATGATATTTGCTATGCTTTGGTATGCAAACGAGCTATGTTTTTGCTTGATGATATTGTTAACTCGGTGCCTCTTGCTGTCACTAACCTTTTGTAGGAGTATGAGGACATTTTTCAGCTGAGATACCCCCGGGGCTGCCACCTATGAGAGGGATAGAGCATCAAATCGATTTGATTCTAGGAGCAACCTTGTCCAACCGTGCTGCTTATCGAACCAATCCAGATGAGACTAAGGAAATTCAGTGACAAGTCCAAGACCTTTTGGACCGCGGATATGTACGTGAAAGCCTTAGTCCTTGTGCCATTCCTGTACTTTTGGTTCCTAAGAAAGATGGAAGTTGGCGTATGTGTGTTGATTGTAGAGCCATCAATAATATTACTATTCGCTTTGTCAAAGATTTCAGCACCATTGCTGCCCTATTGCATGAGTTGATGAAGAAAGGGGTGGAGTTTCATTGGAGAGAGGTACAAGAGGAGTCCTTTGACACTTTGAAGGACAAGCTCACACACGCACCATTGCTGCAACTTCCAAATTTTGGTAAGACTTTTGAGTTAGAATGTGATGCTAGTGGAGTTGGTATTGGTCGTGTTTTGATGCAAGATGGTAAACCTATTGCTTACTTTAGTGAAAAATTGCATGGTCCTGTTCTTAATTATTCCACGTATGATAAAGAATTATATGCACTTGTTCGTTCTTTAGAGACGTGGCGTCATTATTTGTGGCCTAAAGAATTTGTTATTCATTCTAATCATGAATCGCTTAAGTATCTTCGCTCTCAAAATAATCTAAATCGTAGGCATGCTAAATGGGTTGAATTTATTGAATCTTTTCCTTATATTATCAAACATAAGAAAGGGAAGGATAATATGATTGCTGATGCTTTGTCTAGAAGATATACATTGCTGTCCCAAGTTGATTGTCGGATTTTTGGTCTTCAATTAATAAAAGAACAATATGCGATTGATCCTGATTTTAAAGATGTGTTGCTTAATTGTAGAGAGGGACGTACATGGAATAAGTTTATGATTAATGATGGGTTTTTGTTTAGAGCTAACCGCCTATGCATTCCAGTTGGTTCCGTTTGTCTTTTGTTGTTGCAGAAGGCACATGGAGGCGGATTGATGGGACATTTTTTGTGCTAAGAAGACGGAGGAGGTGCTGTCCACACACTTCTTTTGACCTAGGATGAGGCGTGATGTGGAGTGGTACGTGACTCGATGCACCACATGTCAAAAAGCTAAGTCGCGGTTGAACCCACATGGTTTGTATATGCCTCTTCCTGTTCCTTCTACTCCTTGGGCTGATATATCTATGGACTTTGTATTGGGTTTGCCAAGGACTAAGAGGGAGAGGGATAGTATTTTTGTGGTGGTTGATCGTTTTTCTAAGATGGCACATTTTATTCCTTGTCATAAGAGCGACGATGCTATTCATATTGCTGGCCTTTTCTTTCAAGAAATCGTTCGCTTGCATGAAATGCCTTCTACTATTGTTTCAGATCGCGATGCAAAATTCTTGAGTCATTTTTGGCGCACGTTGTGGAATAAATTAGGGACCAAGTTGCTGTTTTCTACAACATGTCATCCCCAAACTGATAGGCAAACTGAGGTTGTGAATAGAACATTGTCTACCATGTTGAGAGCAATTTTAAGCGCAATTTGAAGATGTGGGAAGAGTGTTTGCCGCATGTGGAGTTTGCATATAACAGGGCGGAACATTCAACCACCAAGGTAAGTCCTTTTCAGGTAGTGTATGGTTTTAACCCCTGTGCTCCTATTGATCTTTTGCCTTTACCTACCACTGAGAGAATACATAGTGATGCTAGAGAGCGTGCTGATTTTATTCGTAAGTTGCATGAAACAACTAAAGTAAATATTGAAAGAATGAATGAAAAGTATAGAATTGCTGGTAGTAAAGGTAGAAAAGAGATTAAACTTGAACCGGATGATTTAGTTTGGTTACATTTAAGAAAAGATAGATTTCCTGAGCTGCGTAAGTCTAAATTAATGCCAAGAGCAGCTGGTCCTTATAAGATTATTGAGAAAATAAATGATAATGCATACAAACTTGAGTTGCCACCTGAGTTCGGGGTTAGTCCCACATTTAACATTGCAGATTTGAAACTTTATTTAGGAGAAGAAGATGAGCTTGAGTCGAGGACGACTCCAATTCAAGAGGGGGAGGATGATGAGGACATCACTCCTTCGGATGTACCAGTTGATCCTCCAACCGTCATGCAAGGTCCAATGACTCGGGCTCGAATGCGTCAACTCAATTTAGAGGTGAGCTCGTTCTTAAGCGATCATTTTCATACTTTTGAGAATAGACTACTACCTAATGATGTTATCTTGCTTAGGAACATTAGAGAGGGTCAAGAGGGACTAAGAGGACGTGGAGGAGGTGATGATGACCAGCAAGGACGTCCAACACGAACCAGAGGCTCAGTCCAACATGATTTCGAGTCTGCCTCGGCCTCCAGGACCAGTTTGCCTTAAACTGGTCACCTAGGACACATCCGGACTCCGTTTTTGACGATCCACATATGGATGGAAAGCTAATTTGATAAGAAAGTCAATCCAGGTGGTCTCACGTCAAAAGCTATTTGGAATCAACAGGAATCGTGGTCACAAGACAGCGTCCAGAATCTGCCAGGGTGCTGCGACACCGTCTTTTGATCCGTTGGACCATGTATCGTGTTTGGGCCCATTAGGGGCACGTCTAGGGGTCTTGCACGACCCTAGAGTCTTCATAAACAGCCACCGCTCCTCCATTAGGGTTTGGGTTTTGCTTAGATTATTCTGTGAAGAACAGTTTCGCCGTTCATCGGTTTGTGAGACCCCAACTTCGTGAGATAATCATTCATCTGTAATTTGGTTGCGTTATTTCTTGTTCTTGCTTGTGTTCTTCGTTGCGCAGGCAGGGATTAGCCTTCTTAGCGAGGTCAACCTGGTCCGTGACTTGGTTGATAACCAGAGGAGCTGTGGTGCTAAGATTGCAGGGTTCGATCTTTCGATCTGAAGCCGGATCGGTGTGTCATTCTCCGCCACAACGATAGTTACCATCACCTGACGGAAGATCGGGATCCCCGTCTCCATTAAAGAACCATCGCAATGTGACAAAATAAACGATGGACTAAAAGAATGTGAGGCCGATCTAGATCGGTCTCGATCGAACAGGTTGATATTGCTGAAACTGATGACAACAAGAATATCAGCAAGATCGGTAACTTAATGAATCTACTCGAAGGATGCCACCCTTAGGCAGAGCCGATAACTTGATCTTAATCTAATTCGAGCAGTGGAGGTCGAACTTAACCGATGCAGCCGTACTTGAACTAGATAAGGATCGATAACTAACTTATACTAGAGCTCGTAAGAGGTTGGCCAGACCGATGCAGCCTTACAAACAAAAGTATAAGCCATGACGCTACTTACAGACAAGCCGGAGGTCGACCGAATCGATGCAGCCCTACTTGTTGAAGAACTCGTCGAGATTTATATTACTTCTACTCCTAGGGGTTAGCGTGAAGCCGAAAAGGTAAAGACTGTTTTTGATTGATTGAGATATCTCTCTTACAATAGCCGGGATCCAATATTTATACCCCGGAACCTAAACATGAATCCTACTCAAACACGACTTATTACAATCTTTGAAATAAAAAACATTCCTAATTTAAGATAACTTGCACCCTAATCCTTTCTTTTTTGTAGAGTCTAACATATTTTCCTCCCCCGACGCCATTTGTACGTAATCCGTTGATGTTATCTGCTGTCGTCATCTATAAAATAGTCGATTTCTGATACCGCATCAAAACCGGCTGATATCGATTCACATCTGATCGATCCCTTGATGATACAATCTTGGAAGCTTCAAGTTCCCGCGTTCTTCTCTTCCCAAATTTTGGTGTAACCGGTAGTGTTTCTCCAATCTTCTCTGTAATTTCTTTGCACTTATAGTGGGATCATCCTTTACAACATATTTCACCTTTTCAGATACCCAAGCTATGGAAGCCTCTCGACCCTTCATCTTGCTTGTACTAGAACAAGTGTGGACATCCAATCCTGAGAGTTTGATCACCATGAATGTGTTGCCACCATATTGCAAACACTCCAATTACAATTTTGATCTGCACATCTTGCCCTGTACCTTTTTGTGTCACTATGTTCAATCATAGTTTCAAACTCATTTTTGATGGCATATTGCCTAATAGTGTGGACAAAAGCATTCTTGTCTACAAACGTGTCTCCCTCCTTAATGGTTGGATTCTCTTTATCATGTGATGTGTGAGGCGCCAGAAAATCATCAAGCATAGTAGCCTCATCATCAGATACAACTTCACTATCAAAGTCTCTAATTTCTGGAACAGACCTAGCCCTCTTTCTTTGATGCATGTCTACTTCAACTGAATCAACGACTACATGATCGCCATTTTTAAAGTACCTCCACTCTTCATTTGTTCCAGTTGGCTCATCTCCATCAGGATCACACCCAGCAGTCATAAAGTGCTCATTCTCTTCCTCTATAGCCATTGGTGGCCCTGCAATTGTTTCCCCATATTTAGGTGCTTCTGCCCATGCAAATCCTTTGTCCAGCGTCTCCAAATCATTGTCCACTGCAGTAGGCATCACCTCCTCTCCAATGTTAACTGCAGCAGGCATATCCTCTTCTCCTGTGTTCACTACACCAAGCATCTCTTCCTTTATTGTGTTCACTGTAGCAATCATCTCTTCTCCTGTGTTCACTGCAGCAAGCATTTCTTCCTTTCCTGTGTTCACTGCAGCAGACATCTCTCTTACATTCAGCTCACGTCTGCCCACTACCATGAACAATTTCACTAGTCTAGATGCCCTTAGCAAGTCAAGAAGCTGAGCATTGGACGCCAACTTGCATGTCACATTATCCCCTGATCGAACCTAGAAATTTGCCACTTGGTCACTGCCCCATGTAAAATATGGAGCAATATCTTTCTCTAGATCAATGATTGCGTACTCTTTTGAATCAACAATCCAACTTACTGTCCTACCCCGATTGTACTCCCTTCTTTGATAGTGAAGTAAGCATTGACGGTGACCTCTACTCTGCATGCACTTTTCGGATCAATTCTGCAACAATAGTTACCAACATATGAAGGGAGACCAAATGTAAGGACCAATCGATAGCAATTCCAAGTTCAGGACAAAAAAAAATTGTAATTCCAAGTTCAGGACAAATGACGGTGACCTACCAGCAAACTAGATAAATAAAAATTACAATAAATTACAGAGGCTTAGCTGCTCAAATCAGGACCAATTGCTCAGCACTATGAGAGGGGAAAAGACTAGGGTTTAGAACCAGGAAAATAAGGGAGGAAGAAGAGGAATACAGGGATACACACCATGGAGTAGAGGGCAGCGCCGTCGAGGAGGCAGCCACCGCCGATGAGGCGCGCTGCTATGGAGCCTGAGCCACCGCGGGGAAGCAGCATTGCCGCGACTCTTTTTCAAGAGACGGGCGAGAAAGACAACAGACCTTTGGAGGTCCACGACGCGACTCCTCGCACGGGAGCGAGTCGAAGCTTCTGGCCATCCGCGTGGCTGTGTTGGTTTGCCCAAGGGCAAAAACGGAAGTTGAAAAATGTGTGATCGGCAAACAGGAAAAGGGATTAACGATCTTGTAACGGAAGCAAACGGAATGGTACATAGCTATTGCATTGTGATCTTTTGATGATAAGTATTATAAGGTGATTCTTTTGATGGTATATATTTGAAGGCATGTTTTTTTTATGTTATGGATCCCATTTTCCCTTTCTTTTCATTCACTCCACCTCCGGGCTCCGGTCCTCGTCCTCGCGTCAGGACTTCAGGACTTTGGGGCCTGGCAGTGGCGGTGGGAGCTGCCGCGGTTGGTGGTGGGAACCGGCGCGGGCGCGGGACGCTAGAGGCGCAGGACGGCTGGAGGCTCCTGTCCGGGCTTGTCCTTTCCCTCGCCCTCGGGCCTCGGTCGTATCGCCAGGTTGCCACGGGGTCCGAGCACGTGGCCACCCACGAGTCCTGGGCCTCTGCGGAGCATCTGGTTCTGGCCCTCTTGGCAGGGCTCGGAGGCTTGCAGCACGAAACCCTGAGACTTGTTGTTGGGAGCCATCGGCTGGCTTAGTGGTGGCCTCCTGGCTCCGGCCTTTTTCCGGATCGGATCCGGCTTTTTGACCAGTTTCTAGATTAAAAAATAATTAATTACACAGTTTATGACTAATTTATAAGACGAATATTTTAAGCCTAATTAGTCTATGATTATCGATGTGGTGCTACAGTAACACATGTGCTAATGATAGATTAATTAGGTTTAATAAATTTATCTCGCGTATTAATGACGGATTCTGTAATTTATTTTTTTATTAGTATCAAACATCTCGTGTAACATCCGATGTGACAGTTCAAAACTTTACGCATTAGATTTAAACAAGGCCGAGTAGGTATGGTAAGTGCTAAATTTATTTCCTCACTTCTCGCCTCTTTTGTTAATTTATTTAGGTCGGCCACGCCAAGTTCTATTCATCGCACGTCTCATTCTATTGCTCCTTTTCGGTTTTCATTCATTCGCATGGGAAACAAACCCAGCCCGGGTAAAGTGTTTGCTCACCAATCACAGCCGGTGAACCCTCGCGTCGCAACAAGCTACTGTAAAATGGTGTGAGCACAAGCGAAGCGAGCGAACACAACACAGTAGTCGATCCATCGTTCCTTCCACTGCAACTTGTACCTGCGAATGAACAACAAAGCGCGTGTTTAGTTCCATGAATTTGGAACTTGGAGATATTGTAGTACGTTTGTTTTTATTTAGCAATTAACCTCAAAACGTTCGTCTCCGCAATTTGAATGAATTAGTTTTATCATGTTAATCATCACTTGTACCGGAATACCTGATAACTTTTTGAGATTTTAAGGTGGAACTAAACAAGAGCAAAATGGCAAAAGAAGATCAAATATCATGTTAATCATCACTTGTACCGGAATACCTGATAACTTACCCGATGCTTCACCGGAGCATTTCTCACGGTCACACGGAGCATTCAATACAGACCGCACTAATCCGCGAATGCTCAGTCAATTTGAATCTAGCGAACGATATTCTGACAAGCAGTTTTCTTTTCTGGCAAAAAAATAATCCCCACCCCTTTCCTATTAAACAGTGCTGCGCTCAGCCGAGGAACCCGTGCTCACCCGTCATTTTCAACTGGTGTCTGACGTCACCGCTGAAGCAAGTTAAAAAAGTAAAATATTTATTTAAAATTGTTATAACTTCATGAACGGTGTATCCATTTTTAATTCTGTCTGTACCGGTGTGTTCTACGTGATGAGACGAACAAAACTAGAATGTTCTGAAGAATTTTATTTTTAGCGGCAATTTTTTTGTACTAACTTATAACATACTTATAACTTATGCAAAAAATTTGAAGCACAAAAGTTATAAAGCACAACTTATGTATAAAAGTTATGAAAAACAACCTTTGTACAGAAGTTATTAAACACAACTTATCTACAAAAGTTATTAAACATAAATGAACAAAATACCTTATAACTTATGCTAAAACTTAGAAATACAAAAGTTATTAAACACAAAAAACGAATTAACTTATAACTTATAGCAAAACTTAGAAATATAAAAGTTATGAAATACAACTTATGTACAAAAAGTTATCAAACACAACTTGTGTACATAAGTTATTCTATATAACTTGTAAATAAGTTATTCTATATAACTTATCTACATAAGTTATTCTGTACAACTTAGATGTACAAATTAACATCTTAACATATTAACAGATATGTTGGTAACATACATAAAAAAAAATCGATTGACTACTATAAAATGCAAAAAGAGAAAAGAGAAAAAAATTTAAAAATAACAATGTAGTACATTATTAATTAATTAATACAAGAAACGTTCACGTCTAGTCCCTGTTATAATGGAGCAATCAAAATTATACTAGGTTCCCCAGAGAAAATATCCTCCATCAAGAACTTCAACCATTATACACTCAAAAAATATACACAGGAATTTATCTCTATTAAAATTATGAGATAATAAAACACTAAAACAAATCCGATGGCCACGATCGGAAGTTTTGATGCCAGGCTTCAAACTCACCCCAACCCCGCGCGCCCTCCGCCTCATCACGCGAGAGGCTTCAAACGCGCTCACCGCAGCCCACAGTACGATTCGTCTACTGTCTTTTTTTCCGTAGAATGAAAAGTGAATACCGCCCCTCCCTCTCTCTCTCTCTCCGAGGCGGCGGCGGACGCAGGGCGACGACGTCCCGCGGGCGGCGCGCCGGCAAGAGCGGGCCCCGGTCGCCCTTGTCCCTCACCCGCACGCGGCGGCGGCCCTCTTGCGCCCCCTTCCCTCCACCGACGGCGGCACCCACCTCTTTCCCCCAGGCGGCGGCGCCCCTCCCCTCATCAGCGCTCCCAACGTCCCGGTGAGCAGGCCGGATGGGGATGTGCACGGCGATAGCGGCGGCGATACTTCCTCCACTCTGCATCCCTGACCCATCGACGACCCTCCACCCTCTCTCCCCTCACCTCCCCCACCTCGCCCCAGATCCAGATCGGCGGTGGAGGAATGGGAACAATGACTGCTATCACACGAAGGCATATTGTTGGGCCCATCGCCCATTATGCAAGGCCTACGGAATGTGCTTGGCCATGCCCCGCCAAATAACAAACCATGATGTAGGAATATGGGTGGATGTAATAAGAGGCTGTAGCTCATTGCATAAATAAGAGGTCGATCGATCAAATTATAGTCATGATTTGTAATTAAACACCCCAACTCACGAACATTTTATATTAGCTGTGGGTGTTTTAGTGTTCGCTTGTAAAAAAATTATCTTTACCTCCTCATCAAATATAATACAACTTCTGGTTTCATCTGTCTTTTCTTTTTTTTTTTTTTTCTTTTATTTCTCCTTACGTACGTGTCGAGCTAACTAATAGCGCTGCCATACACACACACATAGAATTACCTTTTATAGATGAAGGTATAAAGACATGTAGAACTATCCAAGTACTTCACCCATCCATTCAACGAGAAGGCCCCGTGAATGCATCCTGCCATTCAACCAGTTCGCTCGTTGGTTTCAGCTAAAGCTTATCAGCTAGCCAACGGTACTTTACTCTCACAACTCACAACTAACCAGCATCTAGCGTCCACCAGACTTCAGGCAGTGTGCGATTGGTCGAAGAGAAGAAGCATGGAGCATGATTGCGGTTGGGCGCTGGCCACGAAACTGTGCTGGCTCCTAGTCGTGCCATCGTGCCTCGTGCTCGTGTCGTGTCGTGCGAACGGAATGGACCCCGGCACGCACGGATGGGCACGAGTAGTACGAGAATTGGTTGGGCGTTGGGCCGCGCAGCGCAGGTTCAGTGGCCTGCTCTGCTCGGGATGTTAAACACGGTCGCCCGGTGTTGGTGGGGGAGACGCCGGCAGATACTCATCAGTACACAGAAGGGCGGCGCTGGGTCCAAGCTCTGATGGATCCGGCGCGCGACCACGTCGCGTCAGCCGTCAGCTTCTTTGTCTTGTCCCTTTTGGCGTGTACCGCCATATCGACCGGTCGCCTTCACCTGTTCTGACGGAAATATAAGTGAGGTTCACCAGGACAGAAAACGAACACACTCGACAGCGAACGGGGTCCAAGTTTCGTAGCTGGGGCTGAAAACGTCGCATGTATTTTGTTTGTTTTGGACGCATCTGTAAGATTGTTAATTTTATTTTATTTTTTCAGGGAAATCTGTAAGATTGTTGATGTGCACGGCACGGCTGTAGCTGAGCCCGTTACTTGAGAATCCAAGAATCGGTCCAGGTGAATATTCTCAGCTCCGATCGATCAATCAACTGCTGAAACGAATGAATGGTTTACTTTCAAAAAAAAAAAAGAGAGAATGGTCAGCTGCGTTCAAAATGGGCTAATGGGCCTGCTCTTCCTGTGTATCGCAACCTCTGGTCCGTGCGCACACGGCTCCTCCAGCTAGAGAGGGAGAGAGGTGATCAGCTGGTTACCTGAGCGTGAGTGCGTGACTGCGCGTCTGCGCTTGAGCTGAGCTTAGTACCGCCTCGGCAGTCTGCAAAGAGGAAACACAACATATAAAGCTGGTCCTGGGATGGTTTTGCAGGACCTTACTTGAACAGGATCTATTCTATAAGATCGTATTGAACCGTTGCTTCTGCACTTTTGAAGCAAAGGATGCAGCACTTTGTCTGACAGAGCCTTTTTTTCCCCTGCATTTCATTCATATTCCGCCCCCCTTTTTTTTTCCTGCATTTCAATCATATGTCCCCCCCGCCCCCCCTGTTTAGCACTTCACGCTCTTTTGATGTCCGCACATCCACGGAACAAGCGGACCAACATACAATGCTAGCTACTAATGGAACATCAACGGTGCATGTAACAATGAATCCTTCTGAATCTTCTATTACCGAACTAGC